TTCTCACGGTTCCCTTTTGCTTATCCGTGTTCCGATATGTCAGCCTCGACTGTAATATGTTGCTTCGTTAACTTGTTTTCTATTTCTGGTATGCCATCCTACATTCACACCGATAGAGGCATTTCGTTTATGTCCACCGAACTGCAAACTTTCCTTCACGGTCAAGGCGTCGCGACCAGCCGGACTACTCTGTACAATCCTCAAGGAAACGGACAGGTGGAGCGGCTGAACAGGAATTATGGAAGTCCACAACCTTAGCACTCCGTTCCAAAGAACTGGATATTCATCGGCGGGAGTCCGTTTTACCCAAGCATTACATTCTATCAGATCATTGCAATGCACGGCCACAAATGCTACACTCCACGAACGGATGTTTATGCATAACAGAAAGTCAACTACTGGGGTATCTTTGCCACGCTGGCTTCTTTCCCCTGGGCCAGTTTGCTAAAGCGGAACAATCGAACTTCCAAGTACCACCTCTTGGTAGACGAAGTGGAACTGCTAAATGTAATCCGGCGTATGCACACGTAAAATTGCCAAATGGCGTCGAGGAAACGGTCTCTCTTCATTACTTAGCTTCACTACCTGATGTACCAGAAGTCACAACCCCTGAAACTTCCCAGCGGAGTTCGGATAATGTCACTACAGCAGAGCCACTCCATGTCAAACCTACGGACGACGAACCAAATAGTACACACTTATCGTTGTCAGACAATCTTAAGAAATTATACCGGCAGCAACCGCGCACACGACCTTATTGTCCACGTAACAGAGAGGCATAGACATTCTACCTCAACTCATGACATTACAAGCATTTACTGGCGGAGGAGAGATGTAGTGTGTAGCATTTCTTGTATCATGTTGCTTTCATTATTTTTCGTAGTATTAGTCACGTGCATTTTTAACCCATGCTCGTATTCTGTCAGATGATTAAACATTATCGGATTCCGGTTACGTAATAGCACTCTGAACGCAGTCTTGGGGTCCACATTGTGACCGGTTGTCACGAGGTGCTTAGTGATAGATGATGACAGAGTCCGGTTCATTCTGGGAGGCGCTCCATTTTGTTGCGTCATCATTTGCTCCACCCACTTTGGCAAGTGTTCAGCCACCCTCTGAGCCAACCGACGGTTAGTCCTGTCTATGTAAACGTCACTGAAACTGCAGGTGAACTGATAAAGTGATTGCATACGTTTCACCACCATGCGAGGTGGCATCTTCGGTGCGGTGATATGCAGTGTACAATCCTGCTTATTGAATCACCAGTCCGTGATCGACGGGCAGGTGACTTTTGAAAATAACAATTTCGAATTGCGCCTCGTGATCTCTGCCCATTCTCTTCCGCGGCTGAACCATGTCTTTCTATTCGCTGGAGATCTTGCTTTTTGAGCTGATGGTACATGGGATCGATGCCGATGCGCACGTCGATCGAATTATTAGAGGAGTACCATGCTTTTAGGAATTCTCTTCCTTTTGTGTTATTGTTTGAGCTAGAATCTCCGTTTTGTGCCAATTGAAGCTATGTACCTCCTCATCCATATGCAGGATTGTACACTGTACATCACTGCACTGAAGATGCCACCTTGCATGGTGATGAAACTTATGCAATCACTTTATCAAGCTCGGAGAAGCGATCAACAGATGAGCAACCAACCCGGGCTACCAGTGTTCTAAATTATTTCACATAGAACGGTGTGCGTTTATCTAACGCGAAGGAAACGAGGCGCAGCTTGTGGCTTCGAGAACTCGTGGGAGCATCTTGTGAAGTCGGCTTGTGCCATTTAGTGGCAGCGTGCATCCAATGAGGCCACCAATTGCTTTATCACATCCTGCTCCTGTAACAGCGAAGTTTATAACCAATATGTTGTCAATGACCGACTACATTTGCGGAAGAGCAATCGAGGTGGTTGGTAGCACAGAGCATGAGACAATACGGATTCAGGGAGTTGCGCAAATTTAATGCCAGAGAAATACGATGATATGGGTGTCTATCAGTTCTCATGAGCACCGTGTCGGATATTATGACACTAAATGCAAGCTAAACACATCATAGAGACCAAGCCAAATGGGAGCCCATCAGATGTAACTAGTAGGTCAAAGCGGTCAGGAACTACTATAAATTAAAAAGAACAGCCGACATTTCAATGCCATACTGCAATTTTACCGTATTTTTGTTTCTGTATTTCGAACTACTTTGGTTGACAATGTTCAACACATTTAATCCAGATACCATTTTTAATCGAGTTCGCTTTTGAAAACTAGTTAGTCGACACACTTTATTTCTTAGATAATGGTTGAAATTAGGCAGATGCTTGGCACTTGGGAGCGGAGGTGCAAAGGCGATTACATAACATACGCATTCTCTTACATAAAACGCATGATATCCTTGATCCACACCTTACCGATAAGGGTTATCCGGATGTTCCATGGTCAATCAAAGTAACTAACAAAAGATTTCATCAACATTACGCGCATTGGATCACCACGAGAATTATGCAAGTGAGTTTGGCAGGGAGAAAGATTGAACAGACATACCCATGAAAAGTTTAAACAGTAGGAAGATATTATTGTTAGTGTGAACCCGCGTTGCTGCCTTAAGCAGAACTCACCAACTTTATTAATATCAGAATTAGTTCGTTTTACTGCTGTAGATTTTTATTGACACGCAAAAAGTATTTTATTGCATTCCGTATATTTACCTAACAAACTTAACGCACATGGCATTCCCTGCTTTCGTGGTGGGAACCCTACCTCAATAAAATAATGCAGATAGTTTTCATGTACAAAATGAAACAAGCGCATCTAAACCAGTCGCGAATGGTAGTGTCCAGACACCCTTTATCATTCCTACTATATGTGAATCTTTTCGGTGCCTCTGTCTCCAGAAGGAATTTTCCATGCGCTGACGACGTAACCTGGTGTCAACGAGACGGTCAATTCAATCCAGCATGGTTTACATTCGCTTGATTCGCAGTGTTCTAGATGGAAAATGTCATTCGGCATCGATAAATGCCACATGCTATTCTACGAATGTGAAGTTAGGCCGGTTTCGCCTACCACTGGCAGTGTGCCATACCATCCGCGACATGGGATACACCAGGCGAATACCCTAAAATTCGTTGGGGACGCAGGACACACTCGTAGGGGCATCGGGCTTCTGTTTACTTGGAAATAATCGATTAACGAAATGTACAAAATGCAATCGTGTCTATTGCTGAATTATAGCTCCATGATCTACTGCAAATGCAGAGTGATCAGATCGTGATAAATCGAGTGCAGCAGTCATGTAGCAAGCGCCTCTTGGAATATGCCAGCACAATATTGTATGCGGATCGATGCAACACCTTGAAACTTGATCCATTAAGTTTGCACATAATGAAACTTTACCAAGTCGTCTTCTTTGGTACCATGACTAAGAAGAACATTTTTTCAACTCCATCAGTATACCATAAAAACCGGCAAATGTCATATAACAACACAGTGGTTTTTAAAAGGTTAAGAGCAAGGCAGTCGGAAAAGATTATCCATAAAAAATATTCCACAATGTGGAACCGAATTCCAAACGAGATACGTGGAATCCAGTCAGCGTAAAGTAACACATTTATTTCTCAATGTAGAAAAGGAATTATTTTGAGACCTTAAGAAATAAGTGTAAGATGGATATCATTCGGATGTCAGATTACTATCCTTTGTCCTCTAACTCGATAGCTGTTGCGTTAGAAACACTTCCAAAATGATTTGATAGCGATCTTCTGAAGTTACGCGAAAACCCACATCAGCGGTATTTTTTAGTGCGGCGGCATGAATTCTTCGCATAACCATACGTTTAAGCTAACTACAGTGCAAATTTGTCTTCACAATTCGTTTCCACTTAATCTGCATCGCTAACTCTTTCATTTTCTTTCCGAGAGGCAACAATTCAGATACACCTAGGAGGTGCCAGTGACCTAGGAGAGCAGTTTCGATATCGACTTGCACACTATCGATGCATCCATTTGAAAATTTTTTTGAAATCTGCCTTGCTACTAAATACATCGGAGAGTCATTCGATTTCTTCGATCTGTGTGCAAATTAAATTGAGATGGATTATCGGATTGTGTAACCCAGCAAAGAGAGACCATTTATTTGTTATTACTGTTACACTCTAATCCACAATTAACCAACTGAGACAGCAGTAGCTATTCATCTACAAGTACACAAGAGCTGAATTCATGGATTTCGGTAAACAAGGACCACCGGTTAAACCTGGCAGCGTAGTCCAACTTCAAAGGAATGGATGTGACTGCCAAGAGAAGAAAGGAGCACGAGCAGACGTGTGTCGAATTCAGTGAGCCCATAAAGGTGCACAGTTTGAGATGAAAGCAGAAACCAGTAGAATGTGAGCCACTACACCTCACGGCTGGCCTACAAAAGCAATGCGTTCCTGACCGCCGAGTGTCAGACACAACTGAAAATGAAGTGAGAGAAAAAGAAAACGGTCCTGAGAATGCCCGCCTATTGCCCAGAGTGGCGAGCTGTTAGTAACTGAGGAGTGCCAATGATGCAGCTACACCAAAACCAGCGAACTGTGCTTTTTTGATGCTTTCCTGTTCTTATGGTTTCCAGGAGATTTCAGATAGGGCTGCTTGAAGAAACACAATGAAAGAGCGGCTAAGCATAAGCAGAAAGAAGTACGTGAATGAAGGCGAAGACAGCGACACTGTATCTGTGCAACTCCACTTGCTGACGATGAGCGCGCGAAGGATAATGTCTGCATCAATGTCCTAACAAAAGGGTGAAAATCGCTTCCAACGGCGATCAATTCAGTTTGTGAGCATATCTCATGGGTCACGAGGATGGAAGAGCAGCAGACTAATATGAAGTGTAATGGCGGCAATGCGATAGTAAAATTATGCAAAGACAGTCCTTCTTCATCATAAAATACGCAGTAGGCAGCCTGCGTAAAACACTTATGTAAAAAAAACAGAAATGAACCAGCTGATGGGAAACATAGAGCTTACAGAATCGTCACCCGCTGGAGGTCGGGGTGTAGTCGTGGAATGTTTTGTGGCTGACCTTCGAACAGAAGCGACAGTCATAGGATCCTCAGATTCAAAACGGCCAACGAGATTTGAGACATAGCCAGATGCGCTGGGTCTACGTGGTTTTGCAGTGCGAGCCGACGAAAGACGTTGCGTGGCTTCAGTGTTTGAAGATGAAGTGACTTGCGAGACATCACGGGTTCCAGACGGCTTGTACTGGGAGCGCATTTCTGATGGCTCAGGTGGAGATCCTGGCACATATACCTCGGAATCTTGAGAGATGACGGTGACCTCAACCAAACTGTCGTCAGGTAAAATACCCTCCCCGGAAAAACCAGGGACGGATGGTAAAGGAGTTAGTTTCTCACGCGTTAAATGCTTCTGCGGCAACTTCGATTCAACATAGATTGGGACTAAATCAAAATCTTCAACAACGTAGCGGCAGTTGGATATATCATCGTACGCTACCAGCAGTTCCTGAAACAATGAACGGTAAAAAAGTGGACGGGTCAACAGTCAGTGATTGTATGAGTGCATGTAAGTAAAGAATCAACATATAGTACGACAAATCCTTATGTGACCAGGATAGATCGGAGAGAAGTGAAAGGAAATTGGGGTCACGTGGAAACTACAAGTTGTAAAAACGGTCGTTGGATAAGGGGCCTATTTGAAAAGCAATCGAATGAAAAGAAGGAAAGTGCAAGTAAATGAACAAGAAAATACGAAGAGACAGGTGAGGTGACGCCAAAGAGAGCGGTCGACGGCGTTGTAAGTTAAAACTCTGTGACTGACGCAAACTGAACGGAGCGAATTGGGTATACCGTAAATCCGAAGACTAGAATTTCCCCATTCTAATGTGAATGTTTGCTGGGGAGGAACATTATACTAATTTAAGTAAAAGCAGTTGGGTAAATGAGAGCTGAACACCGAAGTGCAGTGGATCCAGTTGCTATGACACACGCCTGCAGGATTATAACGAGTAAAATAGTGATGAAAGGGAAGTGAACGGAGGACAGAATAAAACGAAGATGGGAAATGACTGCAACTGAATGGATGCAATAGACCGGACGTCAGAGTGCCCATGAATCAGTGACCACAGATGTAGCAGATTCCGCGGACTCCAGCCCAGAGGATAGCAAGCTGCAGTCAATTATTTCACCCTGAGATGCTAAGCAATCGAGTGTTCAACTCGCAGACTCGTCCATGCAGGTTAGACGATAAACAATAAACGCCGAGTTAGTCGGCTAAAAATCACGCGATGATTTGGAGAACGCAAGCAGTTCTGATACAAAAACATTCCAATTGGTCTTCATAACCAGCACCAATCGATGGATTTGGGCATTGCTCACTAAGTGCTCCATCCATTACAAAGGTAATGATGGTATTATCCTCCAATGCGAAATGGCTTTATTGCTGACCGACAGAGATATGCAGTACATTTCGCATAGTTGCACACTTTACCCTTAACTGCTAACCTGCAATCGCACTGTTAGCGCCTGTGATTGAGGAGTTGAAAAGTCAAATGAGGAGTAACCTCCTCAGTGGCTTGACTAGCAGAGATAATATGACTATTTGTAAGTAGTAGGGGGATTTATTTGGTTTTTGTGTAGATTCGTCGCAGTCAGACACAGACAGACAGTAACCACACATCCAGGAAAGCGCTAGGCGGAGGTTTCGTCCAATTGGGACACGTCAGTAGCTCGCATCCACCGAATCCTGCCGGATTCGAACCCACGACCTTACTCTTGCGAGTCAGCGACTTATGTCATTGAGCCATGGGCGACGGCAGCGGACCGCCATGACTGATATCTAACTGCGATATAGCGCGGCTCATCCTCCACTGTCTTGCATAGGATGAATGTGCAGAGGACAGGGCTGGCCCCCAGAGCCGGCAGGATTCGGCGGGTGCGCGTTACTGACGAGTCCAAATAGGACGAAACGGCCGCCTGGCGCTTTCCTGGATGTGTGCTGACTGTCTGTCTGTGTCTAACTGCGACGAATCTACACAAAAACCAAATAAATCCCCCTACTACTTACAAATAATCAGTAGTCGCATTAGCAGCATACTTGCCACCGTGATTTGTGGCGGCTTCCAAAGGAAGTCGTTGCTCTGAGGGCCAGCCCTGTCCTCTGCACATTCATCCTATGCAAGACAGTGGAGGATGAGCAGCGCTATATCGCAGTTAGATATCAGTCATGGCGGTCCGCTGCCGTCGCCCATGGCTCAGTGACATAAGTCGCTGACTCGCAAGAGTAAGGTCGTGGGTTCGAATCCGGGAGGATTCGGCGGGTGCGCACTACTGACGAGTCCCAATAATATGACTATTTGGACACACGAACAGAGCATATAATTCGGGCGAATGTTAGGCAAAAAGGAAAAACCGGTGGTAACTCAAAATACAAGTACAAGTTACGAATGCGAAGCCTGAGAGATGGGTGCTTCCAGGAAAGGAACGAGTGTGTGCCAGCACCAAGGGAGGACTGGAATTCAGATATGAGTTGAAAAGCGACCAACAACCTTTCAATGAGGTGGCTAACTACAGGCAATGGACAATAATTTGCAATGGCATCGCTTCACCACACGAGCACTCGGTGGGAAGAGGAGAACGTCTGTGCTAAAAAGTAGTGCCGTTAACGCAATGGCTGTAATTGATACCCAGATAAAACAACCGAGTAGCACCAACAGTCCGGGATAGACCCAATCCGAAATAACACGAGAATCGTTAGAAGAAGACCGATGTGTGAAGGAAATGGGTAGTTATGTCACCAAAAACATCAAAGGTGTACGGTTTTATTGGTTTTATATATATATATATATATATATATATATATATATATATATATATATATATATCTGGCAGGAGAGCCCATGGTGCGCTGCGGCTGTTGGTGGCTAGATCCTGACAGATGGTCTACCCAATGTTGCTACTGTTTTGCCATGAACTCATGTCCTGGACACCTCATCGTGGCGACCACTGGGTGGGAGTTGGGTTACGCCCTTCTCCCTGCTAACATCCAGGACACCAATCCCCATGAATCAGTGAACTGACCATGTGCTAGATCCGCTGCCTTTCGGGTGTATATTTAATCGAAGGCTTTGTCTGAGGACCCGAGTCGTCCTCCTGTCAGGAGTGGGCGCTCTCCCAGTATCCTAGTCCATCCTTCTCGGAGGTTAGGAAGTGGTCGATGGCCCTCTTCCCGTAAAATCTAGCCATGGGAGACAACAGGTCTACGGGTTATAAGCTCACAGCTCGATTGGAGTAGAGCACGAGTGCCAAGCATTGTCTCTGACGGTTGGAGGACACCTCCGGGTGTCCAACGGCTTGCTACCGCACACTTCAAACCAGGCAGCCCCTGGTCAAATTGGTGCAAACCCGCCAAAAACCCACCTGCGTCTGGCCGTGGTCGCAGATGCGTATCCTACTACGGTCGCAAAACATATATAAAACGTTCCAGAAGCTCAAAGGCTGCGTGTGACGGCCGTCAAACAGATCCCAATCTGTCTCTGCAATCACATTCCCGAGCTGGACCTGCTCCCCACTGCCTTGTGGGACAGGCTATTGAGCCAAAGGCTCAGGGTGGAATCCCTCAAGCAAATGTCCGAAACACAACCGCCACATCGAGTGCGATTGCCCACCAACGCAATCGTATGCCTGTGCGCAAAGCACTCAAGCTCGGGTGCTGGAGCGTGCACACACTACTGGACCGGAACTCCAGTGAGCGCCCCGAGCGACGCACTGCACTGGCCGCGATGGAACTGGTACGCCAACACATCGAAATTGTGGTGCGCAGTTAGACTCGGCTCGCCGACCAAGGCAAGTTGCATGAAGCAGATGATGGTTACACATTCTACAGGGTGGGAAACGCCACCTCAACACCACGTGAACATGGAGTCGGATTTGAAATATCCGATTGCCCTTATGGCCACCTGGTGGGTGAAACAACAGGCAACAGCGCGCGAATGATGACTGCTCGCCTGCGACTCGGAAGAGGTAGGTTTGTCAATTTTATCAGCACGTACGCTCCGACCATGAGTTATCCTGATGACACGCGTGATCAGTTCTACACTGAGCTATCCTCCGTGATACGGTCTGTGCCGAGGAGTGACCGACTATTTCTGCTGGGTGATTTCAACGCGCGCGTTGGGCGTGATGCATCAGCGTGGACAGATGTCATCGGTCCGCATGGCTTTGGTTCAGCGAATGCGAACAGTGACAGGATGCTCTCACTGTGCGCCACTCACGGCCTGACGATCACGAACACTCGATTTACACTGAATGCGAGTGATATAGTAACGGACGCATCCACGGAGTAGTCACGCTCACCTGCTCGACTATGTCATCGTACGTCAGCGTGATATGCGTCAAATGCAAATGACACGTGTACTGCGTGGAGCTGAGTGTGGCACTGATCACAAGTTGGTGCGCACTAAACTATACATATATTTTCGTAAACCTATGTATTGCACACCCGCCGTGAATCGGCGTAAATCTAACATTCTCTCCCTCGGTACTGTGGCGAAACTTACTGAGCTGGAGAAGGCGATGGTTGCACGCATTGCCACAGTGGGCGACCTGTGGCACCACATTGGCCACCAGGTGACAGCTGCTGCCGAGGAGACCATCGGGCGCGCAAACTGTAAGCGGCCTGATTGGTTTGATGAGAACAATGCGACGACTGGCGCATTTGCGTCGGAGAAAAATGCAGCAGTTGCTGCACATGTCGCAGACCCCAGTGACTTAAGAAAGAAGTGAAAGTTTGGCGGAATTCCACGGCGACTGACCCGTGAGTGCCGTCGCAATAAGAATGCATGGTTGACGGAGAAGGCGAAGCAGATGGAATGCTACGCCGAACGCTGCCAACAAAAGGAATTCTTTGACTCCTTAAACGCGGTGTATGGACCAAGATTGGAGCCGCTGAGGACACTGTTCGATGGTAGCTCTGGCGCTACCTACACACAGACTGCAGACATAATGCAGATCTGGCAAAAACACTGACTCTCTTGAGCAACCGCTCAGAGATCGACTGGCCTATATTGGACGGCCTCAAGCAGCACGACGAGAAAGCGAGTCTGGCGGACACGCTGACAATGGAGGAGATGCAGAGAGCACTTGCTCAGCTGCGAAACGGCAAGTGTGCCAGTGCGAACGGAATGCCGCCCGAAGGATGGAAACAAGCCGGCGTTGGAGAATGCGCTGCATCACTTGGTGCAACGTGTATGGATTGAGGAGGAGGTGCCTTCTGAGCTGAAGGATGCCCTTGTGCTACCACTGTACAAGGACAAAGGGAGCAAGCAATGTTGCACGAATTATCATGGCATCAACTTGCTGAGTTGTGTGGACAAGGTGATTGCCCGAATCCTGCTCAGCCGCCTCGTCAGTCAGGTTGTAGAACCGAACGTGGCGGAACAGCAGTGTGGATTCCGCTCGGGTTGCAGCACTATAGATATGGTATTTTCGGCTCATCAGCCGCAGGAGAAGTGTAGAGAACGACACCAGCATTTGTACTCCCATTATGTTGATTTCACCAAGGCATTTGATACGGTGAACCGCGAGGCATTGTGGCTGGTGTTGGGTAAGTTTGGTTGTTCGCATAATTTTGTAAGTTTAATTGAATGTCTGCACAGTGGTATGCGAGCGAGGGTGCAGCTGAGTAGACAGACCTCGGAGAAATTATCAGCTGTCTCTGGTATGAAGCAAGGCTGTGTTAGCTCCAGCTCTATTTAATAGTCACTTCATGCAATGATATCTTGGGCTTTTGATGTCGCTTGTGCTTACGGTGTTCGTGTGGAGAACCGTATTGATGGAGGGTTGTTGAGCATCCATCCTTTCGCTGCGAGAACTCTAGTCTGTGTGACAACTATCCGTATGTTTCTGTTCACTGACGACTGTGCGTTGTTTTCACACAGCGCGGATGAGTTGCAGCACATGACTAGTGCTCTGGCTGCGAAAGCGCTCAAATTTGTGCTCACCATCAACACAAGCAAAACTGTCTGTCTATTTCAGCCTTCACCGGAGGTGCAATCTTCAATATTGCCACGAATCAGCATTGGTGCTGGAGTATTGGAAACCACCTCCCGCTTCTGCTACCTTGGGAGTGTGATATCGACTGATCAGCTAATACACAGTGAGCTTCGTATCCGCATATCAAAGGCAGCGGCTGCATTAGGGAAGCTAGAGTACCAAGTGTGGAACAACCACCAGCTTACTATTGGCACGAAGCTGATGGTGTACAAATCCATGGTGCTGTCAGTTCTTCTATACGGCAGCGAAGCGTGGACAATGTGCCGGCGAGACGTGCGATATCTCGAGCGATTCCATCAACAGTATTTGCGACGGATTCTGCACATCGGTTGGTGTGACAGAGTTGCGGACACGGAAGCGTTGCGTCGAAGTGGAATGTATGCAGTGGAATGGATACTTTTGCGGAGACACCTGGGGTGGCTCGCTCATGTGTGACAATGAATCCGACGTGGATACCGAAACAACTATTATACGGTCAGCTGAGTGTTGGGAAGCCGCACGTGGGAAACCGAAGTTACGTTACGAAGAAATGATCAAAGTGAGCCTCTCACGTTCTAACCTTGATAGTAGATCATGGAAATCGAAGGCGGTTGATCGGCGTGCATGGCCCGATCTGATCACGAAGGCTGCTGTCGAGGTGTAAGAGAAATCCCCTGTGCATGTAGAGAAGAAGCGGCAATTGCGGAAGTGACATGCGCCGATGGGGTGTACTCCGTCCACAGCGAGCGCATGATGCTGTAGCACAAGCGGTCGTGGGTACATGAGTCATGCAGGCTTAGTGAGCCATGAGCGAGGGCACTCGCGGCTACCAATGGAGCGACGACGGGTCCTGCAGAACCAGTGCAGCGTTTGTAGGTACGCTGCATTCGATTTACTGTCCGCGTGCTAATACGCTGAGTCTTTATATTTCAGGGGTGGGTTTGCTATATTGTCCTAAAGTTTTTGTTTATATTAATGTCAACCCGAACTCACTTCTATACACTTGCACACGTCGCTTAAGCTTATTGTAGTTAACTTCGACAAATTTAAGAGGTTGTGGCATTTCCTTGAAATATGTTTTCTGGTGTATCGAACCTTCCGCGGAAATTTTGCTACCAATTTATTTCATGCACTCATTAAGAGAAGAGTTATGTCACCGTGTCTGCATGCATTAATCGAGTTATTTTCTTTGTCTCTCTCTCTCACAATTGATTGGCTGTTGTTTGATATCCCCGGTATGGCTGCGCTTGATGTGCATGTTGACAAGGTGCCTACCTGTCTATTACCCACTACCTCGTCCATACTGGCTCCAGGAGATAGTTGGCCGTTGCTGGAGTGGACGGGGTGCACGGTTCTTGTGGCCGTGCTAGGCTCAAAGAGTGGTTCCATGCACTCAGTGTGGAGCGCACTACGGTTCAGCCACCGCCATGTTTGCGCTTGATTCCCCAAATACAGCGTGTTTGTGTCTGCCTGTGAAGGAGTGGGGGTCGGCTCCGTTAATGAAATCTGGCTCCCATCCACATGCCTCCCGGTCTTATTCCTTCGGGTTTACACTGGATATGGGGTTTGTGGACGGAGCTGTGGCTGGTGCAGCGCAAGTCACCCATGGCCCTTCTGTAGGCGCAGGCGTCCTGTGGCTGGCCACAGTGACAGGCAAATTCGAAACCGGATGCCGCCAACCATATATATATATATATATATATATATATATATATATATATATATATATATTCGACAGTTTAAGAACAGACGTGGGGCAATCAAGAACCAAAGCTAATGTAGGGTACCGAACACAACACGGAGCAGTCCATGATTTCGTCAGACGTCGTGGTAGTACGCGGTTGTCCAAGCCGAGGTACGGGTTAGCGTTTGAAAGAAAAATTTATCCGCAACACGGCGGAAAGAATTCAGCGAATCACACCCATTGGATTCGTTAGTTAAAAAAAATAACATAGGACTGCAATATTTAACCGAGGTGGAGCAAGGGCAGTGATTTTGGTTAGTGTCGAGTCAGAGTGCAAGTAAAAAGTTGTGGGTTTTTTTATAGGGAGGACGCTTGCTATGCGAAAACTCATCAAATCCTGGAACGGTGCTGCCGAACCATTTACCTTAGCGGATAATTTCCGAACCACCCAGTTGGCACCACGAGAAGGTGGTTCTGTAAACCCGCGACTTAGCAGAGTTAAGGGGATCCCGACAGAATTCACGTCGCTTGGTCCCCGAGTTCCACCTCGTCTTCAAGTGACTACTACTCGATTTCGGACAGCGGAGATATGTCTTTTCATTGAGATGCATACCGGTTGATTTCCTTAAACCATCAGCTCTTTAGTTACCGGGGCCAAGTGGAATACGAAGTGTGTAACGACCTTTCCATGTGCCTCAGATCTCACTCTTCACCGTCATCAGATTTTCATCATGATTCCCCATAGAACAACGAAAAAAGTGGACCTATGAATCGAACATTTTCACCCTAGCATCAGTATTCCTCGTTTTACTTGTTAGATCGTCCCGCTGGAGTCTCCCGAAATACTGGAAGTTCGAAATGATGTCCAATGCTTGAAGTGACACATGGAGCCACAAGCGTGCAGTGAATCTATGTATTACAAACAGCAACAAATTGTTTATGGTGCATTTTACACCCCTGTTCTCCAGATCTGGAATGATACTAATGAGCTAAGAATCCTGTGGGTTCATTATGAAGCATTCATTGCGCGAATCGATTGAGACACAATCGCGATTTACCTTGACCTGAATCCTGTTTGTCGCGCCAACCACGGGAGAGGTAAAAGTGAAGGTCAGATGCCCCGAAAACACTTTAGCACCAATTCCGATTCACTGGTTTTGAGTAATTCAGGAATCACACTGCCATGAAGAACACTTTATTTTTAGTTGACGTCAAGAGTGTATGAAGTCTGACAATTGTTTGAACAAGGCAGCAGAAATCGCAACCTTACGAACTTTACCATTACTGAGATTCTCGCTGCAGCCGGCTCACGCAGGACAGTGTTCCAGGAACGTGCAATACGGCATTGTTTCCTCACAGTTCGCCATCACTAGATGCGCCTTAAGCAAATCCTAAAGAAACCCAACTACCGTAAGCGTCCAACAGATGGTGCTAGCAATTTTCCGAAATTTCTGCATAGAACATACTCCAGGTAACCGCAGAGCCGATTTAGGCCATGCTTTAGTCGACAAAAACCTCCATATTGGGCTATATATATATATATATATATATATATATATATATGACATGGCGGCGTCCGTATCCGAATTTGCCTGTCAATGTAACCTCCATGAGGACAGTCACAGGAGGCCTGCGCCTACAGAGGGCCATGGGTGGCTTGTGCTGCATCACCCACAGTTCCAGTAACACACTCCATATCCGGTGTAAACCCGAAGGAATAAGACCAGGAGGCACGTGAATGGGAGCCACGTTTCATCAACGGAGCTGGCCCACACTCCTACAACAAGCAGAACAGAAGCATTCCGGCCTAATGGGGAAATCATACATACCAGGCGTACACATGGCGGTGGCTGGACCGTAGCCCGTTCCAGACAGGATGGAGCGACGCTTTGAGCCGACCACCGTCACGAGGACGGTGCACCCCGTCCCCTCCAGCAACGACCAACTGTCTCCTGGAGCCAGTATGGACGAGGTAGTGGGTAATAGACAGGTAGGCACGTTGTCAACATTCACATCAGGCGCAGCCACACCGGGGAGCTCAAACATCTACTTCGGTAATGCAAGATTATACGTCACGCAAGCAAACGTACCACATACGCCGCCTTATTGGCCTGGATTAGTAAATCGAATGGGAGCGCACTCATGGTGCCTCTATTCCACACGCAATAGTGCCTTCTCCTGCACCTGAGTAACCAACCTTTATAGTAGTCCACGGAATTCGCATTGATCAAAATTTGACTTGGATTCGCAACACTTGTAATCAACATGAGTTTGTCCTAAACTCGCCCTCTTCACGTCCTGATAATGTTATTTTCGGTTTGCCCGAGTGCCTTTTCCCTGCACTAAGTTGGTTGTACAAAAGCGGTATGAGTATCCTCGTCGAATTCATTCGATATACATATATACATGGATTGGGGTCATCTGGGTCCAATGGCAGTTCGAATACAACATATGCACATGCGTTTATCCGAACTGAAGTGTGAGCTATCACAAATCGAATAGAAACACATTAGACCTCATGATCCACGGTACGACAAACGTGTATGGGTTTCGTTTGGAGGTCAGGCTAACAACCACTTTCGCAGGCATGACAATAAGTATCCAATACGAACTGTTGATGTTTTCTTCAACATTTAGACGTGGCAGCCTTAAATATTGGGCATCCATATTTGAAGGAACCCGATATAGTAATAGTGAAGCAACTGCTAGGTAGGAGGATAACTAAACTAACCGGTAAAGTGAAATAGCGTTCACTTAGGTGTTGCCGCCTATATGTACAGTCTGGCTTGCGTAGCTGATGGAGAAGATCGCACAGCATGCGAATGTGATGAGGTGTCCACTTCTGGCTCTCCGTGTCGCCCATCAGTCCGGTCCTCTGCTACCCGAGGTACGTGCACATTCTCAAAGAACGATTGGTGCGTAAGCTGTGATAATGATGGGCGACATCAACTAAATCCCCCTGCCCACTGTCAAACAAGCGACTTTCCAAACAGTGTTCGCAATGTTTTACATATGTCCAAGTAATGGAAGGTTTGTACATACCCATGTGTACTCTGTTGTCACCATAAGTTATTTGATAAAGATCTGCATCGCACGTCTCTGAATGCAGCCATTTGGTGCTCACAAAACGATTGTCAGTATGCCTCGATTCCTTTACGATGTAATATACTAGTAAACTGACGTACCACTCCCGTTGGATTTGACATTTTACTTCGTCTATACAAGAGACTGGCCATGTGAAATGCAACTTCTGATAGGCGTCTCTGCGCTTCCGCATTCCATCCGCTTAGCACGTGCGTTTTCATAAGCCCCGGTAAATTCAGTATGCCTGAGGAACAATTGGAACTACAAATATGCTCCCTCTCATTACTAACCTGCGGAGCGGAATACGAACTGTCGGTATTGTGATAATTCTTAGTCGGTTAATTGTGTAGATTGTTCACTTGCCACAGAATTTCCAGGGAAATTTCTCTTCGAATGCATAGTCCAATGTGGTCACATGAGGGACAATCGTTGAGCATTGTGTTCCAAATGTCAAACTTCACACTTTATGTGTACTGTAAGCGGCCAAGCGAGGATAATCTTTTGATTCAAATGTATCCATTGAACTGGAAACATGCACAATAATTTGCCACCCTTGCATTGATCCGTATCAAGCCCACAATACGATCGGAAACGCCGCGCGCACGTCAATTACCAATGCGCTCATGGATAGACTGAACCAATAGTCTACGATGCACCTGCTCTCTAAGCGTCGTGCTAGTTAGCATTGAGCAGCTGCTCCAGCTGGGGTTACGTAATCTATAAATTGATTACAAGAAGCAGAATGTAGCTAGCATAGTCTGGTGAGTAACAGCATGGAGTTTACATAGTGATGTGAATCGCGGCCGAATAATAACAATAATACGAAAAGAAAGATGCCGTAGCTCACCGCCTCGGTATGTCACCGTACTAGACTCCACTTGAGAAGGTAACAAGAATAGCATAGCATAGGTCATGATGAGTACAACATTATAATGGGCAACATGTAAACTCATCGTGAAATACACCCGAGATAAATGAGCTCAATAAAGGTAGGTTAGGTGCGGCTCATTCGTTCTAGGCAGGTGCAATCAAGATAATACATTGCGCCAAGACAGTAGTTACTCATTCTAGCATGAAACTGTTCACAAGTGCCACTTACATGCGGGATATAGAGTAAGGATGACACAAAGAAGATGACGGCGATGACGTACGCAGCTTTACAAGCTAACAGGGAAATTGTGCGAAAAAGTCCACTGATTATTATAAGCTCAGCTGTTAAAGTCCGCGGTGAATGAACGGGAATTATGGCTATGCTCACTCTAACGAAGAAGTAGAAGCATAGTGAAACAGTGGTGATGACTTATCGTTGGTGTGTGCTGTGAATGCCATCTCCTATGTTAACTACATGCTATCCATGTTTATCTTCATAAACCAGAGCCGGTTATGATTGTCTCTTGTCCGAGGTGAGCGAGAATTAACAGGTATGTTGAACCATCAGGTAGTCCATCATATGTTACTATTTATTTCCCCCTGGTCATTCGTTCTGACCGCTAGCATAGCTCGACCAATTCAGCTGTGTCTAGAACACTACCTATGCGCAGGCATTTCGATTTGGATGTCACATCGTGTTGCCGCTGTTCCGGAATCAACCTTGATGACTTGTCTGAATCGCAGTGCGCTTACCTGAAGGCGGCAGCAGTACAAGGGAGCGTATAGAAGCACTTGTGATGGGATACATTGACCTCATATTGCAACCCGCATTAAGTCACCGTGTCACACGAGAAGAAATGTAATAAGATTCATCTGTCAAGTGGGAATGTATCGAGACACGAACAGACGTTAGCGGGATTTGTACTTTAAGTGACTCCCATTTAGACATCGAGCCAGCAGATAATGGTGTTACGCGAGTGAAAATGCCATCAGTCTGTCAGGCTGAAGTGTGGTGCTTATAAGTGTTTCTGAATGGTTTCCACTTAGTCATTCAAGGTGAGATATCAGTTGACATACCAAAGGCCCCTGGTTCGAGTTACAGTACTGCAGTGTTGCGAACGAACATTTGTTCACACTTGTGTATGGACTATCACAAACTGGATGGAGAAACAATAACCCTCATGAGCAATAACACTACGTACGTGCATGAGGTTGGATTGAATGAAAGAATAACAGCCATATTCCTCTAGTTTTAGAAAATCGCACGGAGAATTATAAGTAACCAATATGACTGTCAGTGGTTAGTTAGCGTTTGGAGGTGAACCTAAACGGCAGCCTGAAGTTTAGTCAGAAGTGTGGGTATCAACAATAGATTGAGACAGATTTGGAAATAGGGAAGCAAATGTCATCAGTATGGTTACCAGGTAGAATGATGCACAACTAAATGTACCGTAAAACACAGATGACTTATGGTTCCTGTGTATTGTAGATGTTGTCTGCTATAAGCATTAGTAGACGATAATATCATACATTTTCTGATGGATACCTTAACGCTATTACATCATCAACACATGTAGTAAATTCCGCTGCTCCCTGTTCTACCATCGGCTTTCGAAAGTGTGTGCAAACTGTTTTAGGAAATTTACGAGAAGTACCTTGCACAACATCTAATTACCTAATATCTCAAATGTGTATGTGGTGGGACATCTGGGGACGATGGTATCTTCACAGCGGGGTTTGAAATTGAACCACTTAGACATGGCTTGGAAAACAATGAACAAATAAATCTCCATACCCATGGTGTGATGTGCAATGAAAACATTGAGCATTGCATAGTTAGTCATATGAAGGTAGACAAATAATGGGTATCAAGAGCCTCGGCAGATGGTGCAGATAGGGTGGTTAGCTGAACGTATGATATTCCAATGCAACCTGGATTTCTCATCGTAAATTTACCGATTACAATTTAAACAATCGGTCATCATACATCTGGGTTGCAGCTATTCTTCACAACAAATCAATTGTTTCTGTGCTGGATGTATATTCCAACTAAATATTTATTTAAACACTACCGTACCACCACAGCTGGACTAACCTACTTTTAAATCAATCTAGATGACTGGCCATTTCTAATTTAAATCCTAGCAGGAACCTTTGCTCTTCCGCAACTTAGCTCGATAATAGCTGACTTATCCTAACTTCAGTATGAGCGATGTACAACGGGAAATATAGCTACACTCATTCTTGTGACTAATATATGAAACAGAACATGTAGCATCGACATCAGAATGTTGGAACATTGTATGTAACGGGAATAAAAGCTTGAGC